TATCGTTGAATTATTTTCTAATTTTGCTCACGCAGTCTTAAGACCCAACCCTTGTTACATGTGCCATATTATATCAAATACTTCGGTTTAACACATATATGTTATGAATTGGATGTCAGAAACGTAAGCGTTCGAATACTTTCGTGTATGAGTGTAAATCTGCAGCAGTGGCATTGCCGCGACAATTGAAAGGCATCATTAATGCTGCAGCTTGCGGGCAAAGGAGATCGGTGTACGGGAATTCGAGGGTGCAGACGAGGATCGTTGGTGGCGTCGAATCAGCGCCGGGCGACTGGCCGTTTTTAGCTGCGCTTCTTGGTGGGCCTGAACAGGTGTTTTATTGTGCCGGGGTCTTGATAGCTGACCAGTGGATTCTGACCGCGAGTCACTGTGTTGGAAAGTGAGTCGATTAACCATTTATCTCTCCTTTCTATCCGTAAATTGAATCTGAAAGCGTCCGGTCCTTTATTTCCCTTGAACAGGGCTGGGGAAAAATAGATGTTTGAAATAGTTTGTATCTTCTCGTGTAATACAGAATTTGGCAAATGAACTTATATATATAATAATAATAATAATAAATATATAATATATATAAATATAAAAATAATTTATATATATCCCACGTTGCGGGTCCGCTGCAAGTTTATTCGCCATTTTGTATTACATGAAAAGATACAGATATTTGTAGTCCATTTGCTATTTCAAAAACCTATTTTTCCCCGGCCCTGTTCTTGAATGATCGTTTCTGATGCTGTTTAGTCACAGCCGCTCCGATGTATCTGGTTGGACGATACAGCTGGGGATCACTAGGAGACACTCGCACACCTATTACAGTCAAAAGCTGAAGGTGAAGAACGTGGTGTCCCATCCTAATTACAACCTAGGCATCGCTCACGACAACGATGTGGCTCTGTTCCAGGTAGAAAGCTTCGTCCTACATTTTTGTTTTCGTCGATTGATATAATCGAGTGGATTCGAATGATAATAAGTCATATTCTCGAAAATGTTCAATCGTGTCTTAAAACACTTAAACGACCGTTCAGGAGATTTCTCGTGTTTTAACGCTAAACCTACCAAGCAGTAGTACTAACTGGCATGTACCGCTTCGCAAAAGTGAGAAGACCGAATTTCTTTAGAATTTGTCAAGTT